TCAAATACTTTATTGTTTTATTTATTTATTTTTTTAATTCTATTTATTTATTTATTTATTTATTTTACAAATGTCTGACTTGACAATGTCAGAGAATATCAGATATTTAATATTGTACATTTACTCCATTAATCATGAAAAATTAGCTTGATGTATTAAATATTCAACTTACTTTTCTACATATGCAAATTAATGTTGACATTTTTTTATGTATCAATCTGGTGTTGGAATTTCTTTTCTTTGATCTCGCCTTATTACTCCATCATCTTTAAATTATTCTTTACTTATTTATGTTTCCATGGGGTTTAAATATGAAGTGACACAGATTCCCGTTTCTATTGGACGATGGACACAAATCTGAGTGGAAATCACTATTTATTCTGTCACCACAAAAGATCTGCATGATGCTAATGAAGAAAATATTACAAACACATCTCCAGAGCTCCCAGTTGGAGAAGAAGTCTCCATGGCAACCACCAGCATCTACAGGCTGAATGAGTGTAGAGTTTGCCAAACTCTTCTTCACACTTTGTGTGAATGGAGAATCGGTGACCACAGGCCACAACACAAACAGAATCTAGAAATATGAAACATTAAAAGAACATAACTGAGTCTAAAAACTAAATACAGAATACCAAATGTGACAAAACCAGAACCACGTCATAATCAAAATACCGAGCTAAAGTTCAAACCTTCGTCACTCTCTGCTTTATGGATTTCAGCCTTTCTAGAATAAAAAAAAAATCTGTGTGAGATTATGGTGCTGCAGCAAGAGATTCATACACATTTAGGTCTTTTTACGCATCCTTCATCAGGGAAATCATTAAATGTGACTTTCGATATGAATTCTTCTCCACAATATAAGCTGCATATTAGCTGTAGAGCCAGAACCAGGTCAAACAGACGGTTCGTTTTAATTTAGAGGTTTCCATCAAACAGGAGGGCTTAAGATCTTCTCCAAACTGGAGATATCCAACAACCGTGTCTTTCTAAGATGAGTAACTAATGAGTGTGGAAAATTCATAGCACCATTAGAAAGAGACGTCCATGTGTTTTAAAGGTGTCCTTTTATTGCTAAGCTGGAGCGTTTAGCAATAAAAGTGTGAAAACAAAAATATTCACAGCACCCTGTTTTTTTTTTCTTTTTTTGCATTTTGTCCCACTTTAGTGTATTATATGTGGATGTTATGTGATAGACCAACACAAAGTAATGCATAACTGTAAAGTTTGTGCTTTTCATGATCAAATAAATAGGATTAAGTCATAAAAAAACAAAGTTAGTACACTTTTCCCTTTACTAAAAATAAATCGCAAAAGAAAGGAGCTTCAAAAAGTCATGTGAAAAATGAAAAGGCTGTCATTGTTTTCTTATGGTCTTTCCTTGTTTTTTAAAGTATTTCATCATTCGTAGGGACGCACTGTGGAGATGTGACTGAAAAAAGGGTTTGTTGCCTAATGGCAACATGGTTCTATAGTTCAGCTAGAAGAGAAGCACCAGCTAAATGTTAAAGTGTAGGGGTCTTCTTTCATTCAGCTGACTAGAAGTGCACAGCACCAACATGACAGGAGAAACGTAGCTCAGTTACTCTACCCTCCATGTGGCTTTAGACTTTCTTCAACATCTAAATAAAAGGACTTTAAGCTGTTAGAGTAAAATAACTGACAGTTTATGAGGTTTGAAATTCCTAAAAATAAATGTAAGGGAACTATTTAATCACCAGTGACATCTATGGCATCGTAATGAAGAACTAAAGCAACATTGACAGAAATGTGAGAAATGTGTTGCATATTTTTCACAAATATCCTGCATATCTAGTCACTCTCTCCTCATCTGTTGTTCTGATTCTCTAAGGCTGTTTTCACACCAGGTAGTCCAGTAGACTCTGTTGAATCGGGGACCAAAACTGGCTGCACCAAGAACTACAGAAGGAAACAAGTCAAAAACCTCTGAAGAAGACACTGAGTACGTCAGATTTATTCAGCTGTAGGATTTTTTTTTTGTCTCTGGTAAAAGACCGGGAGCCATTTCTCCCGCTAGAGCTAGACTCACATGTTTGTTTTGGTTGAATTCACCCACAATGCCTTGCATTATAGTCCACTTCCTGCTTTTGGAGCGTTCTCCGATCCGCTCGATGTTCACATATACACTGAACCGAACTGAAAGTGAACTTTGGTGGACCGCAGTTCACTTTTTTGTTCAATTCACACCTCCTCAAACGAACAAGACTTCTTCCTAGCCAAACAAAACGGACTCAGCTGTGAACTGTCCAGGAAGTGGAGCATCCTTCCAGCCAACTGAGCGCTTCATTCAGTTCAGAGCAGATAAACTCTTAGCCAATTGCTAATCTCCTGATTGAACACTTGAAGACAAAGGTTATCACCAAACAAATTTAGTTAAGGCAGCGAGGGGCGAAGGATCTCAGCAGCACTCGCAACTGATCTAATCAGCTACACAGCTAAGTTGATTATAAAACTGCAGGTCTGAAGTGCAGACAATGGCCGGGGAGGAGCAGAGCAGTGCAGATGAGGGGAAAATCACCAGGAGGAGGGATGAGAGGAGGTGTGAGCACCAATCCACAGAGGTGAGCGAAGAAAGCAGAACAGATGAAAACAGACGTGGGGGAAAAAAAAAAGGGACCAGAGAAGAAGAAAAGAGAAGACGGTGGGAGCGAGCCGGACAAAGGCAAACAGCAACGGGGTTAGGATAAGGTTCAACAGAGCAGGGAGCGGCGCAGGAGAGTTGAACAAAGCGGTTCAGACACACACAAACAGGGTAGGGGGATAATATTCCGGGGGCAGCAGCAGCTGCCATGAACTCCACTGCTGGTTCAAAGCAGGAAGGAGTAAAGAAACAAGAGCAAAAGCCTCAGAAAGGAGTAAAGCGCAGACCAGAGCTGAAGTGATATCACAGGAGTACAGAGATCCCTCGTTTTTCTTAGGGGCTGCATTATGAAAATAACCCGCGATAAGTGAAATCCGCAAAGTAGAGTTACTTTTAGTTTTTACAATTATTATACAGCATAATTAAATACTCTACATTGAAATCAAAGAACAAAACCTGTTTTCAGGTCAGCGGATGTGCAAGTTCATCAATCATGTCATTAAAGCGTCTCCTCCAACCTGCCCGTGAGATTCACAGCTGTATCTGCGGCAGAGCGATGGATCTCGTCAACCGAGCCTCTGGTCGGGTTTTGCTCTGCCTCTGGCCACAGTTTTTTCCAGCAGGCATTCAAAGTTTTCAGCTTTCATCTCCTGAATGGCCAATCTGTATTACTTATATTTAAATACCGTAACGTTACTGGTACACAAATAGAGAAGGAGCTCGGAGGCTGTTTAGCCAATCAGGACGCAGAACACAATGCACTGTGAAAAATACTGCACAAAAAAATCCGCGAAGCAGCGAGACCGCGAAAGGTGAACCACATTATAGAGAAGGATAACTTTACACGGCTGAGCTCCGAGGCCTTGGTGAGGGCGGCTGGGGTTCACATGCAGTCAGCCACAGAGGTGAGCTGAGCGTGTGTCTCTGCTGATGCCAAAGTGGGATGTTAGAGTGTGATTATAAAAAGAAAGAAAAAAAAAAGTGGTGTTTTTGTATTAACTTAAGCTTCTGGTGAGCAGCTAACACCAGGATGGCAGAAAATGTATACAAAGTCTTCATAAGCCTTTTAAGCAAATCTATTTACTTTGTAACATTACAACCAATATAATCATACTTTAAAAGGAGCTTATTTCTGTTCAAGCCAATATCCATACGCCTGAATTAAAATTAACAGGAAAAAATACTTCAGAAGTCATCTGAACATGAAAATAAACCTTATATCTGCTAGCTATACAGCTACTAGCTACTAGCTTGCAGTGCTAGCTATACAGACCGCCTGATGGCAACAAGCCTAACCATAAACCCAGATCTAAAATTAAATAGTTTAGATTAAAGCCATTTAAAGGAATGGCCAGGTCAATGTCTGGATTAAATTCGATTGAGGAAAAGTGCCAAATGTCACCATCCATTCTCCAAGTAGAACAAGGTTTGTTGGTAGAGGCTTACCCCCAAACATTTGCAGCAAAAACTGTTTCTAAGCGTTGTATATGAACTGAACTCTTGTCAGATCTCTTTCTAAAAACTTGTCAGAAAGCATGCATTATTTTTCTCCCACTTCATATTATGCACTTCTTTATGTTACTCTGCCAAAATTCAGGTATTTTTCATAAGGATTATCTAAAAATGAAAATGGACAAGGCACAGGGGTCTACAATTCTTTTATAGTGTGCGTGTGCGCGTGTTTGTGTGTGTGTTTGTGTGTGTGTTTGTGTGTGTGTTGGTGTGTGTCCCTTCAGCTCCATTTCAAAGCAGCATTGTTAGAAGACATGAGCAGGAAGCCGATTTTGTCACAACAGCAACCCGAGCCGTGTCCTCACTGAATCCCTGACAGCCTCTTCAGTAAACACGCCTCAGACGGCGATGCTCCTGCTGCACAGACAGACACACCTGCTCCGTCCTGACAGCCTGTTCCTCAGCATTAAACCCCCACACTGTGAGCGAGCCGACACGGACAGCGGCAGGGAGATGAGACTGCTCCTGAAAGCACTCTCTCCGGCGCTGTGCTCCGGAGCACACCGCCACAGGGGACGGCGTTCGCCAACTGAAACGCCACTGGGACCAATTAGGCGGAGCGCGGCGTGGCGCGGCCGGACACACGCGTTGAGACCGGTTCAAGGGGCCTGCTGCTGCTGAAACGGGCGGCTGAAGGGGCGGGCGCACGTTTCAACAAGGGATCTGATCTCTGTGTAGGGAAGGTGTGGGATTTGAGTGTGGACCAGCATCTGTGTTCTTTTGCTAATATGCTGATCTACAGCAGACTGAGACGCTGAATCACCTGAATGTGTCCTTTTATGAAGCAGCTGAATGTGGCATTTTCCCTTTAATTAACCAATGTCATATTAATCTGTGTTAATTTAAAGGAAAGTCTAAATACGGTTTGCTGCGTCCTCCGTCTTACCTGAGGACTTCATTGGGGTTGCCTGAGATTGGGGTCTTCTTTTCCGGCGCTCCGTGGCATTCAGATTTCAGCAAGGTGTGAGGCCCGCGGTCCATCATCATGGTGGACGTTGCCATGGTGATGATCGCCACACCGTCCCGAACACGGGCTTCCAGACCGTAGTCCCACTCATCGTAGGAAACGGAGAGCAGACCTGCGGCGACGAGGTGAGATTCAGAGTACTGACAGTATAAATATTTGCCCTTTTGCTTTATTTCTCTTTTGTCAGATTTAAATGTTAAGCTTATCAAATATTGTCAAAATTCAAAGATAACCTAATAAACCTGCCTTCTGCCCCCTCTTATTAAATCACAAATTAACCTGGGTGACATCACTAGAGGTGATTACTGTCAGACCAGCAGAACAAATAAATCATTAAATAAAACAACCAGTTGACGACTGGCTATAAAATGCTGCACTTTCATTTAATTAAGGAAGATATGAGTCAGCTGATTCTTCTCCAGGCAATTTATAAAAGGAATGAGGACAGGTCAACCTCGCTGTACACAGAGAAATGAAAGTCCGACTCAGTTTTACCCAATACGATTGACAACAAGGTTACAACACTGGGTTAGTCCATAACATGACATAACTAGTTTTCCTATCCTAAATAGAGACAATGTGTTTCTCATTCTGGGTTGTGCTTCTGAGTTTAACGCTCCTAAAAATGGTTGTAAAAGGAATAATGGAGGAACGTTGTGATGCTTCCTGAAGGCAGAGTGTCTGAAAGAGCAGGAGCTTCTTAAAGGGACAAAGGCCCAATTTCAAGGCATCAAATCACAACGTCAAATTTCTTTTGAGCCATATTTGATATTGTTAGCATTTTTATACCAAATGATGGTTACTTGATTGGGCTATAAAATGATGCTATGTGGCTATAAAAGGTGAGAAACAAAGTCTTAGACATCTGTCAGTCTTGATATTCCTTGGGATTTACAAAGTAAACGAGTGCCATAATCCACAAATGGAGAAAACGTGAGAACAGTGGTGAACCTTCCAGGTGAAGCTGGATTCCTGACTGACTTCAAGAGAGCTTCCAGGACTCATCCAGGAAGTCAAAAAAATACAACATCTAAAACACTGCAGGTTTCACTTTCCATAATTAAGGTCAGTGGTTATTATTCAACAATAAGAGACTGTGGGGGGAAAAAAAGCCAAATATATCAATATATTTGGGAAAGTACTCCAAAAAAAAGCACTAAAATAAGTCTTTAGTGTGGCCAAGCCAAAGTCTGGACCTAAATCGGATTGGGATCCTGCGACATGACCTGCAGATACAAGTGAGCTAACAATCCTCAACACCAACATAAAAGACTTATTGATCGTTATCACAAACGCTTGACGGCAGCTGTTGCTGCCAACGGTGTTGCACCCAGTTATTAGCTTTAGTGGAGAATGAGCTTTTTGTCTGGTTATCTGAAACATTAAACTGAGACAAAAGCACAGACAGAAGAAATCTGTGGTGGCTGCCAAAAAAAACCAAAAACAAAAAAAACAACGGTCTTATAGAGAAGAGAGGCAGGAAGGGAGACACTGTTCTGTTAGAGTTCATACGATTCAAGACGATGGGTACAGGGTCTGATGATTCAGGGAGGCCTCAGACTGAGTCTGTCACCGTACAGAGTTTGTCCTTCTGTCCAAAACTTTGTCTGTGTCTGCTGGACTTTGTTCCGCCTGTAGCCTTTTCTCTTGTCTTTGTTTTTTTTTTTTTTAATCTTTACAAACATGTATTTTCATTTATGTGTTTCGGTGTGTTTATTTTTCTCAAAGCCCATCTCCAAGGGTGACCTTGAGAAAACTCATTCTTCATTACATTGTCTTGTAACCAAGTGTTTAAACCAGTCAACATAATTGTCTGAAGCTCTGGGAATTGTTTTGGTTTTCTGTGAAGCCGGGGTCACAGCTGGCACTTTGGTTTTGCTCGTTATCCTATTTTGGAACAATATTAATCTGAAACGAATTAAGAAAAAGAGAACAGACTAAAGTGTATAGAGTGTTGATTTACTGTGAAAATCATCCAATCGTGCATCTAATAAACAGCTGTCATTTCAGATTAAAATCTATATTTCTCATTCATAATGTAATTAACTAATGACAAAGCATCAGCATTAAGTGATGAGACGCAGTGTGTGTTGCCTCGTGCAAAACTGTTGATCTCTTCTAATGACAAACTGGTGTCATGATTTCATCTCGTTTGGATCTAATCACTCTCCTCAGACCGGATTTACAACAAGTCCGTCTCCAGTTTGGAGCATCATGTAGGAGCTCATTCATTCCTCCTTGGGAAGCATGTCTGAACACGGAAACTTTTTAAAATTTTGCCTTAATGTGTCCTCAGAATTGTTGACCAAGTGTGAAGGTAAGACCCAACAGATTTACTTTCACAGGTGGAGCATTACAGCTAAAATGTTATTTGATATTTTTTGGGGTTTATTTCAAATGTAATGGAGACATATAGACAGAAGGTGGAAGGTGCTTTAAGCCAACCGATGCTAACGCTAGCCCAAAGCGCAATATTTTGGTATTATGCTATGTGCGACACATAGGGGCGCTGTGCTAGAGAAGCCACCAAAGCAATGGCGGAAAATTATTCTTAGTTGAGGACAGCTTTTTTCTTTTCATTTGAGTCGTGTCGTCTGATGACAGGGGGCTAAAAGTGGAGAGGCACAGAATAAAGCTTTGGGGGCAGAAAACAAATTGGTTAACAGACAGTTATTTCAGTAAATATTCACGTTAGCTTAAATTACTAGCAAAATGGCAGGTCACTGTTGTTTTGCAGCTGTGTGCTGTAGCTTACAGGTGTAGGTGGGTGATATTATAATGTGTCAACATGCACTACCCAAAGCACGTAGCTGTGCCCCTGTGCTAGCCGACCCATGCTAATGGACAGAAGAGAAAGAAGGTAATCCAGGTAGCTTAGCAAGCTAGTCATCAACACTGTAAATCCCTTTATGTACTTCTTATGCTATATGCATTCAAGCTCCACTTTGGTGTTGAGTGAAAGGTGCACAGCTAATCTCAACATGGCCTCTTACTGGATAGAGCTACAACCCTTTAAATCTTTGCCTGTCATTTAGGACATGAGATTATTTACACAAGCAAACAAAAAAAAAATCAGTTCAAGTTTGTTTGTATCGCAGGTTTGAACAAGGCAGTTCAAAGTGCTTTATATGATAAAAACATGAAAAAAAATAATACTGTGCAAATTTATCAGCCAAATCAATAGTTCTTTTAATCCGTGTGCATCTAAAATTTCAAAATTCAGCAACTGGGAGAGTTTACACAATACAAAGCTGTTTTATTGTAGTGCACTGAATTACTCTAGTTTCCTAGCAACTATTCATAACATTTTGCCTCAAAGTGGGGTGCCATTTAAGAAAGCCAGCGACTACAGAGCAAATTTTTTACCTCAAATTCATTTGAATTAAAAATGCACATTTCTGCTGACGTCCATTTCGGTACGTTAGAAATCATCTGGATTTCTGTCGCCGTTTCGGTCGTCGCCCCAGTTCATCTCGCCATCCATCGCTCCGTCTTCCCCGTGTCTTTCAGTTGATCTGCGTCGATCTGACAGTGTATGACCACATGTCAGCTAGTCCACTACCATGTCAGCGGGCATAAATAGACAGGCGGCCTGGCAACCTGCCCTCCTCACGGGGCCTTAGCGCTGACAGCTCCGGCCCTTCAGGACCACATCTAAAAATCTCACAGTCTTGACACTTTCTTCACACTCGCTCCCATCGCTTGTTCCTCTTTTTTTTTTTTTTTTTTAAAACACAAAATCACTGCTGCTGTGTTAAGGGAAGGAAGCGGTGGGAATGTGTGTGTTGCTTGTAAGTGACGTGTGCTCTGAGGTGGGTTCCTCTGCACCTTGGGAACACGCTGCCTGATGCATATGGATTCATTTCTCTCTCTGGGCTTGTTGAAACGTCATAACTCTGCCACGTAAACTGGTGACGTATAAACTCAATGCCGCCACATCTGAGAGATGTTTCACCGGCTAGAAAAAGCGACTGCTGATTAAAATCTGGATGCTCACTGGTAAACTCTAAAAAAAAACATTCATCTTTTATTGCAGATTTTCAAAAATGCAATCTTTAGATCACATGCATTTCTGTTCTTGTGAGGGGAAAAAAATCCCCTCTAAGAAGAAATAAGAAAATATTTGTTGTTACAAAACTCCTACAACTAGCAGCATTAATAACAATTCATAACAATTCCAAAAAAATGTAGATGTATAATTATAGTAATTCAAACTTCACCTAACTTTAACTTTAATTAACAAGTCATGTTTTTTTTGTTGTTCTTTCCTAATAATCATTTAGCAACTCCTCCAAATGAGAAAGGTAAGATAATATGCCATGTAAGCAAGGCAGAAGTGTGTTTTGAACTTCATGAAACAGGAAGTGACTTCAAAAACGCAACCTATGTTTTCTCATATCTACAGTCGGAGGAATTAAATTCTCCAGATTTTTTGAGGATGCTAGTTTCATAACAGATTACTTTGTGTTAAGTTTTGTACCAAGGGTAGAATTAAAGTTATATTCATTATATAAGTTCATTGCTATGGTCCTGCATGTGCAGTGACTTGCAAAACAATTCATACCCTTTGAACTTTTCATATTTTGTCACATTACAACCACAAACATGAATATATTACGTTTAAATTTTATGTGGAAGACCAACACCAGGTCTTCATAGCACAGAGATGTTCTAAATGTCTCCACAGATTTCTCCCTGACCTGTCCAGACTGAAACTAAAGCTAAATATACAATCATGTAACTCTAGTGGTGATGTTTTTGGTACTTTATGGAAAAATAACATGTTTACAGAGAAGATATGAATGATTTGTATTAACTAGGCGAACATGACAGCTGGCTATCCATTAGCAATAACAATGCTAAAAGGCCTAGTCTCTGGATTACACTAAAACCTTGTTAATGTTTTTTTTTTGGTTTGTTTTGTTTTGTTTTTTTACTTTATTACAAAGTCTGGTTTGCATTTATTGGTTTAAATTTCAAATGTAGAATTCGTAACTTGATAACTTATTTACACCAATAATGAAGACAATTGATGCTAGCACTTAGGAGTGATGTGAACAGAATGAACAAGGAGCGGCCTGGAGTAAGACAGAAACCTTACAGAAATGACAGAAATACAGCGAAATGAAGAAAATGGAAATGCAAATTTTGAGAGAGCAGCGAGCTGGTTCCCCAGAGCACGACTTAGCGAAGGCATCACTGGAATTACCCCCGATGTTTGGAAGCACTTCATCACACACCGTGCAAATTATTAAGCGCACCAACCAGGCAAATTATCCCCACAGCCAGCACACACCTTCTGCTGAACTCTGAACCACAAATCATCAGTCGCATGCTACGCCACAGTGTCGTCTCTCTCCATGTTTGTTTAGAAGTTGGTGCGCTTGACTGCCCCTGAAGGCATCATGTGGCTCCTTTAATGTTCAAGTTGAGAGGAGAGATAAAAGCTTGCTGGATGAATTTACGGGGCAAATATTATGTGTCCTCTTTTATTACAGAAGAATTTGTATGCTGGGCGAAGAGAACTATTATCTTTTTCATGACAATGTTTTTGGAAGAGAATTGGTTTTTGTCTGGATATGAGCATTTCTCCACTTCAGCAGGTTTTTCAGCGTCTTCGTCACAATGGGTCTCAAACCTGTTATCACAGCTACTATACCAAAGTAAATACAAAGTTTCGACTGTCTTTACGGACTTTTTGAAGCAGTTGTACAAGACAAGAAAAATAAAAGATATTTTATACACTGGCAGGCCATGTTTTGTTGAATGACGCAGCTTATTTGCTGTATGTGTTCCAGTTTTACCCACAAGTTCAAATTTTCAGGGTGGAAATTGGAAAAGGTAAAAGAAAAATCAAAGGATTCCACCAAACCCAAACTCAAAATCCAGTACGGACGCCTTACATGTAACCTAAGTGAAAAAACTAAAAATGTTTTATTACACATCTAGTTTCTGGCTCAGTCTCTCACGCTCTCAGTCACTATTGCCAGAGTTTAAGAGTACAAAAGGAAGGAAGGCAGTAGCTTGTATTGCTAACAGTAGCTAGCCTGATACTAAAAACCAACGGCCATTGTTCTTGGGCCATTGTCGTCGTTTCCGTCGTTGTTGATTTTTTTGGATGCATCATCCAAAAATTAATACACACATTGCTTCTGCTCTAATTTAAACCATACATCAAATTTTATTGTATCCACACAGTTCCAGTTCAGGTCTTAGTGTTTTTTGCAGCAAACTCCTCCACAGCACGGACGGTTCCTTCGGTCAGAAGGGGGAGCATGGCAAATTACATCTCAATAAGTTATGTTACCTTTAAAAGATTAGATTTTATACATTTATCTGATTAAATCTTCACTTTTTTTTCCTCGTTCTGAAGTCCTGCCACTTTGAGAAGCCGCTCAAAAAGACTTGCAGTATCGGCTAGTGGGGAGTGAATACAAATGCAATTGAAAACCATTTATCATTTCTCTCCCACGTCACAATTAAACACTACTTCTATTGCCTAAAAGCCCCATTGAAAGATATTTATATATGTGTCTGTGAAAAAATGTGGTAAACTTTAAGCAACATCAACACAGTTGCCTGGCACCCGCAGCAGCAGGGCCATCTACAATCTGACTTATGTTTCAGCATATTTCATTCGCCGTGAATTATACGCTTTCCTCTCCATTTGATGCTGTTCAGAATCTGGACCTGCTTCGGCTAACGTGTTCTGGCACATTCTGTACCTTATTTATCACGCATAAAACGAGAAGTTGACATTTTGCCTACTATTTGTCATTACGTCCCATTTGATTTATGCTATGATAATTCAGCTTCAACAACGATGAAAAAAAAAAAAAGGTTTGTGTATGCAGCCACTCCACAGTTCCACTTAGCAATCAGTCAGGCAGTACACAAACAACACGATTATCTCTTTGGCCGCATAAATCAAGCGGAAAGTCATTATGTGATTTAAATAACCAATACGGTGATGGATCAAACTTCAAACTCTCATTCGGAGCGTGAGCCCACCGTTTTGGCTCCCCAGGCCGACATGAAGACACACTCTGGGCCGGTCCCAGCCTGTTCGGGCCAACATGCATCATTTAGATTACAATGGACCGTCACCGATACACTCAAAATCTCTTTCTAATATTTAATTTGAGGAAATGTGGGAGAAAGAGTAAGACTGTAAACACATGGCAAGGCACAAATGCAGACCATGCAATGAAAAGTAAAATAAGTGAAGCAGACTAACAGTCAAACATTTATATAATTATGCGGCATTATATACAGCGGCATTTTGATCAAGACACAAATTTCATTGCACAACTTTAAATTAACATCCAAAGTAGCTTTTTTTTAAGACAAATTACACTATTATACTTCAAGAAACAAAATAATTTTGACAACTATTGTAAAAAAGTTCTACTATTTGTGAAATAATTACTTTTCAAGCAAGAAATAGGCAAAAGATTTCACTGCAAAAATGTTTACTAGTGTGGCAGCTGATGCCGCCCTAGAGGTGGAGTCGCCCTGGGCGTCTGCCCACTTCGCTACTGAACACACTCACCGACACCATGCAACACATTGGGCTGCGTTATTTTTCCTCCCTTTTCGACAAACATGTCCAAAAGGGGAGTAGAGGTAAGAAGTATCCCCCTGAAACTGCTTAGGACAGGCAGTGGTTTAATCATCACTGTAAGTCAAACACCAACAAGCCCCTCAAGTGCGCACATCCACCGCGACTGCGTCACGGCGAGGGGAGCAGACAGAAATAAAGGGACGTTCTGATGGTCAGAACGGCAGCTCCAGGCCCGACACTGAAAGGTTCGGCTTCCCGCTGGGAGCTGGCCTTCCTCAAACAGCCTGTCCACCTCAGAGTGCTGCAGCTTGTGTTACATTTGGCAGCCAGACAGGTGAGCCTGACAGACCGCGCGTGCGGGTTGAGTGCTTAATGCGCCCCAACTCAGAAGTCACTTGGGTTGACCTTCAAAGGTTAGAGCGACTCTGGCAGCGATGTGGGCGGAGACAAAGACGAAGAGGCTCCTAACTTATCATTACAAAAGGTCGCTTTGTTTCTTTTCTTTTCTTTTTGTTTTTTATCTGAGGAAAAGTCCCCAACATCCAAACTTAAAATCTGCAGTGAAGAAATCAGTTCTCAGCAGACCAGAAGGGAGAGAATGACGACTGTAAGCAGATGAAATCAGCTCCTTTTCACTAGAAAATAGAAGCATGTGAAGTTCGGTTTACAATTGGTGGTGAAAGCTGGTTTCTTTTCATTTCATCATGTCGTAAAATGGAACAGACCACTCTTTCTTAACTAATGGGCCCCAACTAAAAAGTGGGTCGTGGTTCACTCAGCTTGATTTATTTAGATTATGGCTGCAGAACGGATGCAGGCTGGAACAAGAGGAGGGAAAGCTTCGTAACTCTTCTCATACAGGGTGATGATCTCGAATTAAAGTAAAAAGCTAACATTGAGGGTTAGGGGCACAAGTTATTGACTATCTAAAGATGATCGCTCTCATCAACTAATGATTAATTGATAAGCGGACATTTTCTCAAAAAACTGAGCTTTCTCTTGTAGTAGGAGGGCTAACTGCCTTTCCATCACATAAAGGGATAAATTTTTCATACGTTTGAACATTATTTTGGGTCAGCTGTATTAAACACTCACTTAATAAACAGGAAAAAAGATTAAAAGAATAAAATATGTGAAATATGTTTCTCTTTTCTGTTCTGGTAAGGTCCCGCCATCTTTATTTTAGCATCAACTGGCTCAGTTTCAGAATGACCAGAGGCGCCCTCTACTGGATGGCAGCTAAACTGCAACAATGAAAAAAGGTCTTAGCAAACTTCCTCAGTTAATCAATTGGAACTAATTTTAATCTAATAACCATTAATTGGTAGTAAGTGGATTCATTGTTTGCATCCATAAAAAGGATAAAATTGTATAAAATTCACAGAAAAGGAGCCATTTTATTTCTGCCTACCTGTGGGAAACTCAGCAGGCACTACATCAGTGTCTCCAGCGACCAGCGAAGGGACGATCCACGTGTAACCGTAGCCGGTGATCCCTACGGAGTGGGCCACCTCGAAGATGGTGTTGGCCTCCTCTTTTGTGCAGTAGAGAAGAATCACAGGGCTCTGGAGCTTCTTCAGCTGGTTCTGGATCTTTGAATCGCCGTCGTCCACAGACATGTCAAGCAGAAGAACTTCCTCCAACTCCCAGCCGACGAAGCTGTTCTCGATGGTGTTTCGGATCTGAGACGGACATGGAGAACAAAGATGGGTCATGAGGTAGAGCCTCATTAACATCCCAATCCAGTAATATGGCAAAATGCCTTCAAATCCAGTGTTAAGCCAATTACAATTCATTTGTTTGCATTTTAATTAAAACATGGTTATAACACAATGCAGCCAAATTCAGTTGCTGCTAAATTATCTAAGGAAAATGTGACTCCAGTTTCAGCCTGAAGAAAAAAAAAAATCCCGAATGTGACATCATCAAACATTTGT